CGTCTCGGCCGCGGCCCCGCAGCGCTCGGCTTCGTGGCCTTTCCCAGCCCCGTTGCTAGGCCGTGCGGGGCCGCGTGCGCCGGAGCTGCCGGAGAGGCGCCCGCCGAGAGAGCCACCTGTGCGCCCCTCCCCCCGCCAGGCTTTTCCCGCGCGGGTCCCTTGTCCGAGATCAGAGTCGGGATGGGCCTCTGTGAAACCCACCCACCGGACAGCGACAGCCGCCCGCTCTCGGCTCTCCTTCGGGTTGGCAAAGAGAGAGGCCCTGCAAGGCCGAGCACAGAGACGCTGGGCAAGCTGCGTGGGTGAAAGGCTCTCCCTAATAATGAGCAGACCGGTCCAATAAGCCCCAATGAGCTGCTTATATGTTTAGGTAAGAGCCTGGCTTGGATTCACTGCCTTTCTGTTCCTGTGCAGGGACTGCAAGGTAATGGCTCTAAGTCCCCTTACAAATTCCCGTATGCTGGAGCGGCCATTTACACCTGGACCCCCTTCGACATCAAATGAACCTGCAAAACAGACCTCTACAGAGCCACTGGTGCAGCAAATACAGCGGACTCTGCCTCCTACCCCATGTACTAAGACAGAGGTGGCCGACATGTGGCAGGGTGGCACCGGTAACCTGCGCGTGTGACACAGGAGACTGGGTAAGGGACAGGCAGCAGCATGTAAGGCAGAAAGCAGAGCAGCAAATCAGGTGGGGATCACAGGGAAGGAAGCCGAGCAGCAGATCGGGCAGAGGAAGGGGACTAGAGTGGCACTTGGCGAGGGTGAGGGGCTAATTTGTTTCTCACCTGCCTAAAAGTTTGGCTTCTGCTGTACTAGACTATCAAAGAGTAATAATATCTAAGCAAAATCTCTTCCAGACCTGCACGACACGTTCTGTTATTAACTTGCGCCAAGTGAAGAGGGGAGGTAAAGGGCTTTGATTGCTCTGATGTAAAAGAAAAGGAAGTCACAGTATCGACCTGTAATGACGCTGCTTGCAGATAAAAATCTGTTTGTCATTTTGCCTGCAGAGCCTCAATGCGACTTCAGTGGCTTGGTTTTAGGGAAGCTCCCATCTGATTTATGAGCTACAAGTTTTCCACTCTGATCCTACAGAGCATGAACTTTGTTCTTCAACAACATCCCCTCACTAGTATGCACTAAAAGGTCACATCTCTCCCATTCCCATACATGGAAGTGCGTGGCCTTCTATGATGAGTTTATGCCAATTCCACTAAGCCCCTATTTTCTGCGCATGCTCAGAGATCGCTCATGTTGACACATGGGAAAGGGATCTTAGAAGCAGTCTAACATCCTCAGTCATAACCCATCAGTTTGAAAAGAAAACATATTTCTGGCTCATGTCTACCAGGATTCAATAGCAGCCATTTCTAGACTTAGCACTGTGATGCTCACAACCTGCTCTTTTACTTTGCATTCATCTATACATTAATCTTAGGTTTGTGATATGGCTTTGAGAAAAGTAAAGGTGCCTGGCAGTCCTAAAAGAAAGCCAAGGCAGAAACGGATTCACATGCTCAACATGATCTGCTCGATCTAGCAATAACTCAAGACTTCTTTTTTGCTTTTACAAAAAAGGCACAAAACTTACAAAATACAGCTACTGCTGAATTGTATCCTGTTAGCTGCTGTATGGGTATGTACAGAAGTGCTCCGTGCACATTTTACAGCACTGTAATTTAGAGCACTTTTCATAGCACTATAAAGGTAAAGCACTCAAACATGGCAGAGGTGCAGTGTTGGGGGGGAGGGGCAGCTGACCTCTGAGCTTCCCTGTACTTTCCAGGCTAGGCAGCAGGGGGTGCTCCATAGCCTCCTGGGGCTTCTCCACTGGTCAGAAATTTGACCACCCTACAGAAGTTATTTAAATGCTGTAAATTGTGAAAGTGCCATAAAATACAATCCTTCAAATTTAATACCTCATTTAACAAGGGTTAATTTAAAGCACTGTATCCATTTTTAACTGCTGTAAAGCTGTGCACATCTGTTAAGTCACAGCACAACTATAAAGCGCTTTAAATGGCAAAAAAAGCTACTTCTTTACGCACCCTTATTTATGATACTAGTTTCTTTTAGGTAAAAATGGGCTAACTACTGGGATTCAAATCTTCCCAGGACCTTGACATTACTATAGTCTAGTCTGGTTGAGACTGTGTTTGGATCCTTTAGTAGCTAAAATGAAGGCTACATTTTTTGGTAGAAGGTTCTAAAGGAAAAACATTGCAGAGACTATAGATGCCCTCAATGTTATTTATAGCAAGAGCATAGAATTAAACTTGTCTAGACAAATCTGTGTTTGGGACTAGTTTGGAAGAAAGGAATGCCAAGCATGGTTTTGCTCACAACGTTTGGTGTTATTAGTTGCCACAGTTTGTTATTAATTATTGTAATATTATATGCTTTTTAAGTGGCATCTCATAGATAAACATATGTGAGAGAAAAATGGTTCCAAAAGGTTGGAGCTGTCAGGTAGGGGGATCATTCAGGTTTTCAATTGTATGGGAGACAATAGGGGAAAAAGGTCAGACCATGTGTGCTAAAATGGCAAAGGTACTACAGGGGAAATAGAAGATTAATTGAAGGAGTGGCCTAATTCTGTAACGGTAGAAAAGCAAGCTTTGCCTGGTAGTAATAGCGTGAAAAACAGTCCAGACTTTTCTGTCTGTCTAGCACAAAAAATCTATGTTAGTTGGCCATATCATAGAAAATACTGTCTTGCTGGTCAAAGCATTATGAATTGCTTCACTCTCAGGCATTTAGCAGGAGCGGTAGGTTACATCTAGTGATCAGAGTGCCATTTTTTCATGGTGATAGATGAAGAGTTGATTCTTAAATGAAAAGCAAACACAAAACCCAGCCAACACAGTAAGGCTCCTGTCAGATGTTAATATCATGATGCAATTGGGATCTGAAGAATTTTATGCCCATCCTAAAAACAGGGCAGTCCTAGGTCTGGGACACACACTCAAGGCACAATACAGACCTGTCACAAAGACAGTTCATGTTAAATGTGGAAACTCTTTGTGGCTGGCTTGCCATTTTATTTTGCCATAATTGGCTGAATGTGTGGAATGTTGCAATTTACCATGCAAGTAACATCATCAGATAATAAATGTAATATCTGTCAGTGCCCAAAGCACCTTTTGCAAATGGATCTGGTCTCAGGAGCAAAAGTTGGAGCCCTGTTTCACTATTGGTATAGCACCACTTATGTTGGTAGTGTTAGTGCAGAGCTAAGCCTGCAGAGTGTTCTTATCCTTTAACTCTGTGGGCTTAGCTGTGTGTGAGACACGTGCATGAATTCACATTGCTAGTGCTCAGCTTTCAGAAAATCTCTAGAGGAAAGGATAATCAAAATGAATATGATGGATCTGAACTTTACTCAGCACTGACATTTGCAGTCCCAAGACATTGCAATGTAAATTTGCTTCTGAGATCAGACTCCCCCAGGAAGCCAAAATGATCTTAAAGAAGGACCTGTAGGTAAACAGTATGCTTAGGAGTCAGAGTCAGATCCTGACCTAAGTTAAACCATGGAGTAAGGGATGCAATTAGTGAAGCAACTCCTATGTAACTGAGTCCAGAATATTTGGACTCAGTTACATAGGAGTAGTTTTGGAAAGAGGCTTTACTTGGGGGCAGTGTTTGCATGTGTAATTCTAACTTCTTCACCCATTCCTGTAGGAGCAGCCTCTGATTTTAGCAAAGGCAACACAAATACCCTGTTGTTAATGTATAGAGAGGATTAAATATGTCACTGATGTTTAATTAACGAACAGTCTTAGGCATGTACTCTGATATGCTTCAAAGAACATTCCCTACCCAAGCAGCTTATTTTAAAACATATTCAGGCTTTTTTCTCTATTTCTTCCTAGGACAGCAGAGTGGAAAGAGCTTGTCAGGTATTTGTCATAACACAGGACAGGACATTCAGACCGTGTCTTCCAGGGTGTATTGGGTGTGCAAGATTTCAATTTGCTGTGATATTTCGCAACTGTTTACTCAGACAAGCAGATTTTTCTTTTTCTCTCAAGGTAACATCAAAAGCCAGTTCTGATGCTGTATGTGCTGTAAAGCATCCAAGAACTTTACCTGTGTGTCTAAGCTGAGCTGCCTGCCAACCTCCCTCACACCTGTACTCATAAGAGAGATTGAACTGCTATCTCATTTATATACAGAATACAAAGCTAGTTTAGGTTTGTTTGAAAACCTGCAGAAAAAACTTTATGCTTAATGCTGCTTGCTGACGATAAGGAAGGTAGTTCTTTTGTTCAGTAAGTTATTTCACATTTGCAAAGCTTGGACTTTCTTGCATCTCCCTCAGAAATACCTGATGCTGCTGGGGACTAAACAAAGGACCAGATGAGACCCTCACATGCCCTCAGAAAGCAATTCCTGTGCTCACAAAGACCTGCTGAAGTCAGTGAGAATGTGGGACTACAGGAAGGATCTTGTTTCAACTCACCTCTGTAATGCAGCTTTGAGAGGGCATGAGGAGACTGACCATGTCAAAATCACGTCTTGGAGCAAGATGACCCACAAACAGAGCACTGGATTAGCAGTCAGGAGGGCTGGGCTCCAGGCCTAGGTCTGTCATTGTCCTGTGGATGGAGTCAGACAGCCACTGCTCTTCTCTGCATCTTGATTTCCCCATCTGTGAAATAGGGATGTTGGTGCTTTGTGGAGCACTCTGGGAGCTATAGATGAAAAGGATCGTACAAACAATCTGCAAAAAAAAAAAAAGGAGAATGCCTTTCTAGACACAATGATGCATTCCCAGGTGCGGGCACAAACCACGACTTGTAACGCTATTTGCACTATTAAGGAAAATCAGTCAGGAAGATTCCATTTCACTTTTATGGCTGAAGACACAATGCACCTCCTTCCAGGATTGAGGATATTGTGTCATGACTAAGATGATATCATTCTACTTCACTGTAAAATGTGCTCCAGGCTGAAACTTGGCATTCAGCATCTTGAAAAAGGAGCAGGCTTATCTGAGAAGAGCTTATGTAATGAACTCCACTGAAAGGTTTACATAAAGATGCCACTTTGAAATAGTAGAGACAGGACCTAATTCTCATTTAAGTAACTACCTTCTGGCAAAAAATGTCCTTGGTTTCAAAGGGAGGTAGTAAACTTTTCTACTTCCTGTCGTAAACTGCTCACTCTCGTTGCTGTGAGCTAATGCAGTCTGTCCTGGGAGAAGTGAAATGACTCCTGTTAATTACTGTGAAATGAAATATGACAGATTATCTTATTATTAGCGATAATTACATTAAGAGTTCCCACTTGAGGAGGGTGGGAAGAAATCAAGCAAAGATAGATCCCAATTTCAGCAAGCATCTCTAGTTCATAGAATGTGTTATCAATTGGCATGAATCCTCCAAATTTCCCACTGATGCATAAAGGGTTTGGATACACCGCTTGACATGAAACAGATTTACTCCTGTAAACTGCATACATGACTACAGAACCCTTCTATTTACCACCCACCTTTAGATTCTAGTTTTCAAGCTAATTTGTGGCATTTATCCAGGCTTATTATAGCTTGGATATAACCTTGGATATTATCTACTGGCTGTCCTAAAGCCATAGCAATAAATGCCAGATATTGCATGGCAGATCCAGTACAATACCTGGGTATTTGAGCATGATCCAATCTCTGCTGAAGTTAATGGAAGTTGTTCCATGGAGTTGGAGCAACCTCCTAAGAATAAAAAAAAAGGTGACCAAGAGATTGAAGCTTGGCTTGGAAAGTCAGAAGACCTAGGTTCTATATTTACCACATAACCTTGGGCAAGTCTCTTAGGCTCAACCCTAAGACCCGTTGCTTTGCGCTGGAGTTGGGCAGCTCATTACCTTTGAGGATCTGGGCCCCCTTTGTATCCTGGTTTCCCCATTTGTAAGAAGTATCAGTGGGTCCTGTGAGGCTAAATTCACGGAGGTTTGCTGTGGGTTTTACATGCTCAGAAGAAAGACCATGAATAAGGGAACAGTATAATTACATTGTTGGAGATACTTTGCACTTTCAATATTCAGTACAGGCAGCTGGAGCTATCGCTCAGTGGAATTGTACCAGGGATGCATTTAGCCCAGAGCCACAGCTTCAGCAAAGAAGAACGCGAAACGCTCCAATTCCCCCTGTGTTCTGACCCACCAGTATTGACTGCACAGATGCGCTGTAGGAATGCAAAGGCTTGTTTTCTCTATCCAAACATTGTGTCAGTGAAATGCAATCCATCCTGATATGGTTTAACAAGAGCCCCTGGGAGCACTGTACCTTGGAGGCATGATGTCACACCTCAGCAGAGAGATTATTTGTTTTGCAGCTTGCGAACAGCTCTGAGACTTCATTTGAAAGTGCTCCACACAGAGACTCATGAATCAAACCTTCTTAGTCTCACAGAAGGGGCACGATTGACTGCATATTCTCCAGTGCTTTCTTTTTCCAAGCTCCCAGTAAGGGATTAATAGATATTTTCTTTTTTCTTTTCTTTACGTATAGCAGCATTGTTATTGCTTGAATTCCACCTTGTTCATGCCACACTGATAGCTCTATTGAGACAAGTAAAGGCAGACATATAGAAGGGCAATGGAGCACAAAAACAGACATCTATTCCATTTCAGGTGAATTTTATTTTCGGATCAGCCAGTGGAAAATTGTTGTATGAAAGCCTGGTTTGCATGTCAGAGCAGTAGTTTGAACAGTGTTAGCCTTGTTTCTTTTGTTGTAATAATGAGTTTACTACTGGCCATTCTGCACCTGCCTACTGAAGGGTCTGAGATTTTCTCTAGAACAACTTGCTGGTGAATCCAGTACTTCCACCACATTAGACAGGCAATCATTGCAGTTCCTCCTTGCTGTCTTATTATTCTCAAGTATCTAAAGTGATAATCAGGGTGTTAACAGCAGCACAGTAAATCAAACACTGCATCCTGCAAAAGGAGGAAATAGTTCTTAATGGGTGATTTCTTCATTGAATAGCTAAGTCTTATTCTATCTGAATATGAGGTCTTAAAGACAAATCCCAGAAGAAAAAGAACCTCTCATTGTGCAGACTACACTGGTGTTTACAGTCATGTGAATTAATGTGTGAAAAAATTGCCTATTGGACTGAAGTGTAGACACTGTGCTGTCCAAAGCTGCTCAGAGCAGGCTTGTCTCCATTTGGGAGTAATGTCAGGCAAGTTCTTCATTTTTCTTCCAGTGTAGACACCTAGCCCCATGCCAGCAAACACACTGAGAGCCAAAGAGACCTTGTCCACACTCTTAACTGCCATAACCACAAGCGCAGCTGCAGCAGCATAAACCTCAATGGGAATTTTTTTAGGAAAAAAGTGAGGAGACATAAAACCCTGAAGGGCTCCACTGCCACTAGCTTGGAGTCTCCCCAGCATGACACTCGTACACTTTTTTGCTTCAAACAAGAAATAAAATACAGATGTTTATCAGAAAATTCTTTGCCTTAAACACCCCCCGGAGCCATCATTTCCCAAGCTGCAAACACATGATGTAACTCTCAAGCCTTTGGCACTAATAACGATAGCTTGTCCCTAGGTAATGCAAAAGGCTGCGGGATAGGATGTTTCTCTTTGGCTTTCCTATACGAACATGTTGTTTGTTAGAGTGGAACCAAAGGGAAAGGAATGTCTGGATTAAAAGTCTGACATCTCCATTGGGAAAATAGTTTGTTGCCTGGCAGGTTAGACTGGAGAGAGAAAACTAGAGAGAGGGGAAAAGTCAAGTGCTCCAAGGGAAGACCAGAGAGACAGAGCCTGCAACTAAAAAGATGCTGTTTTTACCCTAATACTTTAAAAAAGTAAAATAACATTCTCTTTGTGGCCACTGAAATATACATTTGTTTTTACCTCCCACTTTATATCAAACATCTGCTAATTTTCTCTCTCTTTCCATCTCTCATTGATCATTACTTTCAGCTCTGGTTTAAGAAAGCCCTTAATAGATACAGACAGGCTCTTCTAGGGTCCTCTAACATGTCTAAGTCACCTTTATAGCCTTCATCGTTCCTGATCACTGAGCTGTGGACCAGGCGAGAACATCCCTGAGTGGAAGCTGGAGAGGAAGGGGAGAGTGAGATTGCTGAGAGGAGGAGGTTAGAACAAGCAATATAAATCTATATGGCCTTATATTTGGGTCTGGCTTAACTGTGCTTGACCCAGGCCTCAAGGCTGCTCTAAATTACACTGAACAGCCAAGGTCTCTTAGGGATAATTCAAGCTGTTGAAGACTGCTACATTCCCCTCATGGAAGAGAGTAAGGGGTGTTTGGTAGAGCCACAATACAACCTGTGTTTCTTCTTAGGCAGAGAGAGTTCCCAGGTTGACAGTTCAGTCAGTTTTGCACTGGTGAAATGAAAAGAGCTATAGAAGAGCTGAAAGTGTGTTTCTTCTTAGGCAGAGAGAGTTCCCAGGTTGACAGTTCAGTCAGTTTTGCACTGGTGAAATGAAAAGAGCTATAGCAGAGCAGGAATGCCAGCAGATGGCTGCCAGGTTATAAAGGAAAGGGAAGGTTTGGGGGGAGGGAACATGAGAGAGAGAGAGAAAGAGAGAGACTTTTCCAGTTGGTGGAGAGAGCAGGAGTTGCCAGGCTGAAGAAGGAAGGAAAGTATAATCCCCAGGGTCTCTCCAGGGTAGGAAGAGCTCTTGGAGGAGGGCAGACACGTTGGTGGATCTGGGTTTCATTTAGTCCTAATCAGTCCCTGGCAACGATGAGATTGAGACAGTTGAAGGAACAAACAATGCAGCATTCAGAGGCCGCAAATTAAGTGATTGCGATGGACTGCTTTATGTCAGATGAGATATTGTGCATCCATGTGGCTGTAAATCTGCCTGGGGCAGCAGGCTAGTTAGCACGGCTCCATATACAAAGCAATGACAGCAGTCTCAGTGTGCATTTCAGGGAATTGTATTGATCAGGCCTTTTCAACAATGATGCATCAGACTTCTATTAAACAATGGCAAATTACTACAATACAGTACCTTGCTGAAGCTTATGGAGAAATGCTGGCCCTTAGATGTTGAGATGCTGGTGACTTGTACGTTGCTCTTGTTGCCTTTTCATTTGAACTAGATGGGCTGGTGATGCTATGATGAATCTCTGGGCTAATGGAGTTAAAATGAACCTTTTCAGTGAATTGCTTGTGAGCTCTCATGTAACTGAAGGACTGCTCGTAGCTTGAGATGGAAAATTACAGATTACAGTAGGCTCATTTATATGGAAAATGATATAATGTTGCCTGGAAAATAAATCATGTGGCAGCTGCGTGGCCAACTCATTACCTCTCCTTCCAGGTCCCCGTGGAAGAGAGCATCAGGATGACTTATAGGAGTTAGAGACTCCATGTTTCGTGACAAAACAAGAAGCCCCTCCTGATTCCTCTGTGAAGCACCTGTTCCATGAACTGCATGGTGGATTACAAGATTGCCAGCACGTTTTCTGAGGATCTGCACCATCCACATTATTGCTTTGTTTTTAGATTAGATAGCATCCCTGGTTGAGGATCAAGGCTCCAACACTTAGCAAAGAAGATCCTTAACCCCAACTGCTCACCTAGGACATTGCTTCTCAACCAGGGAGTCATGAGATCCTTTTAAGGTTATATCAGGGTGCCATATAAAGTTAGCACTATTAGGTGTGCAAAGATGATTCACAAGATAATCCCAGATATTTTAAATAGAAATCCATAGTTATGAGTGTTTGAGTTCTTTGCAAGAGAAAAATTGTTCTATTATTTTTCTGTAGTTAAAAATAATAGTGAAAACTAAGAGCTAGTAAAAAGGAATTGTGGAGAAAGATCTACAAGCTCAAAAGCATTGGTTCTGTTGGACTTAACTTGCCATCTGGACATCTAGAGAAGCCAGAGATGTATGGAGGTAGGCAGGTAGCTTTAGGAGTCCATCAGGATAAAGATGGTTTTTGAAGCCATGCCTCTGGACAGGTACACCTACATACAGATGGAGCCTGAGGGATGCCCAGTAAAAGAAGAATAAAGGCAGAGAGAGATCCACCAAAGAAATGTTGATTGAGAGGCAGGAGAACCAAAAAATGGCTAAAAGCCAAGGGAGGACAAGCTTTTGAGAAGTTGGGACTGGTCAAAGGTAAGCCAGAGAGTAAAGAGGACAAAGACAGAGTTGAGTTCTTGGGCTGTGTCTGGGAAGAGAGCATTTAAACAGTTTCACTGGAAAGGCAAAGACAGGAGTGTAGGGAGCCAAAGACTGAACTGGAGAAGAAGCCAAATGCAGAAGTTGTAGATAGTTTCCTATATATTTGGAGATGGGGGAAGAGCTGGAGAGGCAGAGGATTAAGGATGTATTTTTCACAATGGGGGAGACTAAAATGTGCTTGTATTGCATAGGGCAAGGACCTGAAGAGAAGAATAAGATGAAATGATGAGCATAAGGCAAGGAAGGGATGGAGTCCCTGGAGCAGGTGGAAGGTTAGAGGGGGACATCTGCTCCTTCATACACTGCAGTAGGATTTGCTGCTGCCACGGTTGCAATGCAATTGTTTGTGCTGCAGTCAATGTCCCCTTCATGATCCCTGCTGTTATGCATCCACTACACCTCAAAGGTAGCTCATCCTTTACAATCAGGCACGATCAAGTTCCTTTCCCAAACTGCTCCAAAACAAAGCCCGCACCCTGGGCTCAAAACCCTATGCACTGCAGGGTTAAATAGAACCTCCCCTGATACAATAGCATGCTTTTCTCTTCCTTTCTCCTGGCCACCTCTGCAGGAGGTGCTGACAGGAGTCCAGAGCATCCAGTGTCAAAAGCTTTGCTTTCTGCCTGTGCAGATACAGATTCATGACTTGCTATTTCCTAACTCCATAGCCTACCCACCACCTGGCTTGTCCTTTCCCACATAGTATCCCAACCTCAAAGTGCAGGTGTTATCATAGCTCTGTTGCTAATGGCACAGTCAGCAGACATCTCCACCTCACCTTCAGCCTCCCTACATCTGTTCATATTGTGTACTCAAGGTATAGATTTATAAATTCTTTGGGGCAGGGGCCATCTTTTGTCCTGTGTCTGCACAGTGTGGAGCATGGTGGAGATCTAGTTTGCATCTGGGACTCCCGATTCTATTGCAAAATAACTAATAGCTACTGATTGTTCTGCCAGGTCACCGTGAAGATGGAGACACAAGGAAGGCTGATTCTGCAGGGTTGCATGTCCTGCTGCCTGCTTTTGAAGGGCACCTTTTAAAAATTCTGGTATCACGCTCTATGCAAACTTCAGCTATATTTTATGCAAGAAGCTTGCATCATCATAGGGCTACAGCCTGTTCTATTAATGCCTTTCTGAGCTTGATGTGGAGACACAGAATAAATTATTGTATCATGCAGTTTAGGAAACCCAAATCTTTAGGAAGACATCCTTCCAGCATATCAGCCAGTGTGACTACACCCAGCTCACCATCGAGATCCAAGGAAACATCCACAACAGTAGCACCCACTAAAGACTCCCCAACCTCATACAAATACTTGTTTTAATGTCCAACAGACTGACAAAATATCAGGGCAAGCAGTTCCCCTGGAGCATACTGTCTCCGTGTTCCCTTCTGAGCAGAGTTGTCATCGTGGTCGTCCAATGCTGCCAAGCCTGGACAAAAGACACTAAAGAAGTAAAGAGGCTTCCTTCTCCATTTGGGTGTCCTGCAGCCAGAGCTGTGTCCCTGAAGACAGAGCTGGTTGTCCCAGGACTCAGCTCAGCTACACAAAGCTGGCACTGTGGTACAGGCCTGAAGTGCTGAGTCTTTTCAAATCAGTAATGCACAGAGCTACAGCACTAATCTAACATTTCATCACTGCCTATCCACCAGCTTTGGTAATACATCCTCCAGTGCTTTCCTCAGGCTAATCTGAGACACTTGCATAATGCTTTTTAGGAGCTCCAAGAGAAAATGGTCAGGCTCAGCAATGTCGCAGCATTCTCCATTTTAAGAAAATCCGTCAGGTGTGAAGTTGGTCCTTCTCATCTTTGTTTGACCCTTTTCCCCACAGTCCTTCAAAAGTTTCCTGACAGTTTTGTGAACTCTCCTTCAAGTCAGTTTCAAAGAGCTGTGCTGGAAACTGCGGGGTAGGTATCCAGATTGCAACATGAGGACGACAGTAGAAGAGAGCACCAATCCCAATGAACCAGTAACAAGATTGTTAGTATGAAGGCACATCAGCATTGTTACTTAAACCAGAGACACCCAACTTGCTCAAGCACCAATGCCTCAGTTTCCTGACCTACATACCCCTTTAGAGTCATAAACCTCAGATACAATGTCTTTTTTCCCCTTCGACAATTCCCTCTATTAAATGACAGGGCATCTATCTAAGACTTGTAACAGCACCTAGCACAACAGTATCTGAACACCTCACGTAATCTCTAGTCTTCACTATGGTCCCATAAAATAGGGAAGTGCTCTTAGCTTCACTGTATAGATGGGGAACAGAGGCAAAGAGAGACACAGGAACTTGCCAAATGACAGAGAAAGCCATGGTGGAGCAAAGAAGTAGGCCAGGGCTGCAGCATGACTACATGGTTGATTCTTCTTCTAGAGGCAGAGGATAGTAGATCACCATAACAGACATGTTGGGAAAAATCACCAAGACCAGGATTTGAACTCACAGTGCATGTCTACATCATGTCGCCTTGAGCTACACCATTAGTTTGGATGCCAATCAAAGTACAACAAAAGAAAAAATAGCAAGTCTGTGATATGTTTAAAAGAAATTGTTTAATTTCACATCTCTATCTGCTAGTGTGCAAATTAAAAAAATAAATAAAGAAAATGTTTCAAATGAAATGGCTAGAACTTTGACACTTCTTAAAATATACATTTTATTATTTTCTGGTGTTTTGCTGTGAATGTTTCATTCAAATTGTGAAGGTACACAGCCTTTACAAACTTCTGGAGTAAAGATTTTTTTCATTGCAGAGGAAAATACACAGGCTAGAAAATGTGGAAATTCATTAAATATTTAGTATTACTCCCCTCATCTATGCTGTGGAATGCTTTGTAGAAATACTGTATAAAATAAGGCAGACTTTTGATAGGGAGCTTAATTATAAAATTTTAGGGGGGTGGAAACAAATTAATGTTCCAACTTCTTTTTTTTTTTAATCCAAGGGAAGATCATATGGTCATCACTAGGATTGTGAGAGATAAGTACTGCAGCTCTGTTGCTTAGACAGTATACATTTTTTGTTTATTTTACTACTCTCAAGTGAGACCTTTCAATAAAACTTATTTTAATTAACATAAATCAGACAATATTTAACCATACACATCTATCCTTACAGTGCAATAAAAATGTATCATTGTATAGTATTTTGTATTTGCATTATGAAAATAAAAGGTCTGTACATCAATTAAATGTATATTAATGAGTATGAATCATGTAAATTTGTAATGCATCTAAAGTTGGCTTTGGCTTTTAAGTATTTATAAATTCATAGAAAATATTGAACATCTAACAAAATAAATAAAACATATCATTTTAATCATAGATGCTAACGATCAACTTCAAAAATTCTTGTGTTATTTTTTTACATTTGCTACTAAATTTCTTTAAGAGAACTCACTTTCAGTAGTGCTCAGAAGTGAATGATTGCACCTTCTGTGATGTGAAAAAATAGAGTACATCTATTTTTCATAGATCAAAAACTCCTTCATGAAGAGTTGCAGTTTAAATGTCTGATTGTTATACGTAACTGTTCTTAAGTGCTTATAAAAAGCATGGAGCTTTCTCAGAAAAGCTGTGAGTCACTATTAATAGACACTTCTTCACTTGCAGAATTGAGGATTAAGCAAAATCTTCTAGAGTACACCCTTTTTATGAGGATGTCTTCAAGCTTCACGTATTGGTATGAAGATAATGCAAAAAAATATGTTCACTAATAGACCCTCTTCAGTACAGTTACTGCAGCAATCCAGTGTAATTCAGCTTCATAGGCTTATTTCATTGGAGTCCATACACGATAGTTTGCAGGAGTCAACTGCTGATTTCATGTTCTTTTAAAATGGAAAGTTCCACAAGTGCATGGATTTAGCCTTACTGTAATACTGAAGAGACCAAAACAAATCTGAAATCACATGAACAAAAGTGAGCTTGAATAAATATGCATCTGGTTAGGTAAATTACACACCCTGGCCTAATCGCTATTCAGGTGGTGGTCGAAGACTTCGAAGCTTCCTTTCATCTAGTCCTTTCCAGTATTTAAAGTTATTATCCAGATGCTGCATCAAATTTGGCAGGTCTGCAAATGCTAGGAAAAAAAGGACACAATGTATTTAGCCTGCAGAACTGAAATGGTCACTTGATTCTGTTTTCTGAAACAACTGAAAATGGTCAGGAAACTGTGTGTTCAGGAGGATGGATTATATCTGTCACATTGATACCTGAAATGGTTCTAGTCTTACAGCTCTTGAGGTCACTTATGCACCATCCCAGAATAGCTAGTTAAATGTTACATATTTAATAACAGTGATGCAAACAAGAGAAAGGACCATTTTCCCATCAATTGTGATCATACCCATTATGCTTGATAAGGCCTCATTCTATATATGGCCAATTTGGCATTTATGGGAGTGTGACCATCCCTACTACTTTAATCACTCATGACAGCAAGGGAAAAGAAATGGCTGTTAGCAGTTTTTAAGCTTTAGAAAATTATATGAGAACATTCATGATGTTATCCCAGTGGGTTCAGTTAACATGCAAGTCAGTCATATAATAAAGAGGAAACCAAACTTTGCGTGAAAATGGCATATTAAAAGAAGCCACAAGAATTCTTCATAGTATCAAAATACATGCGAGCAATAATTAAGCTACTGGGTTAACTGGGTATGCAGCAAGGCTCCCCCCTCCCATTTGGAGTCATGATGCACCAATACTGTATTGCAGTGTTCTCAAAACAATTACAAAATGCTTATGAGGAGGGAATTTCTTGCAGAAGCCTGCTTACCGTCCCAAGCATCAAACATATCCGTGATGAAGTAATCAATAAATGATATTTGGGACTTGGGGATACTACAAGTATTTCTGTCAAAAACAGGCATCACCACAGGTAAACCTTGCCTCTTTTCTTCATCAGTCTGCAAAGAAAAATTAAAGCGATTATTTCTGACACATCGTTCTAGTAATGAACTTCCTTTGGTGGCACATGGTTGGACAGCAACTAGTACATGCTACTGCTTAATTAAAAGAATGGAACAAGCTAGTGATTCTGAATATGAGATCAGATATATGCTGCAGATGCACAGAACACTGAGTAGTGCCCTCCAGTGTTTCTCGCAAAAGGAGACATTTACCTTCTGCATCTACTCACAACACAGGGTTTGTGGCATTTCATGGTTTATTTCTGAATTAAAATTGCTTTGGAGCCAACAGAAGCACCAGAATTGCCAGTCTTGGTAAGAAATGGAGTTTTAACTATACCAGAAGAGCCTTGTTTTTCTGCTAAGGCACACAGGCCTAAATTAAGAATTTGGTTTGCAATCAGTCTGTAAGGGTAGCTGTCCAGCAACGCCCCCCCAACTAAAAACTCAGCCTCTTTATTCCTTGCTTTCTTTTCAAACTTCTGAGCCTCACTGAGCATGCTCCTTGCTCACTAGCACTCTCATCCTAACCTTGAAAGACAGCCAGTATACACATATGCAGAATACCTTCTTCCTCTGCATGCTGTGACTGGAGTTCACTTTCAGGCAAAACATGGACAAAAAAACAAACTGCAAACTGAGCCATGCGTAAGCCTACCATTTTCAAAGCCTTCCTGGTAGTGACAGCCAGCTTCCATGTGTTCACATCTGAGCTAGCAATAGTTCTTTACCAACAATATTCATTACTTTAAAATACAAGCTAATACCTGGAATAGAAAAGTGCAGCCTGGAAAGTTTGGCTGAGTGTAAGGGAAGTCAGATTGCCACTTCCTCCCAGGCTACCACTAGAAACACTCAGCTGGAATTTCTCTGACCTCTTTTATCTACTTTACCTGTGCAAAGTATTCCTCAGAGATACGACCGGCCCATTCAATGCACTGCTCTAGAGGTCTGCATGGATTGGAAACGTCTGCACACTTTATCAGCATACGCTTTATAAGGATACGATTCTCAGGAGATGTGAGCACGGTTTTGACTGGGTCTCCATCACCATTATTCTGCAATATTTCAGAATGAAAAGCAATGAATCAGAAGGTTTTCTGCACAGGTGTTCAAACACTCTCTGCTTTGGGACACAACTCCCAATGTCTCCAATAGGACCCCAATTCTGCACTCCTAGCATGCTCAATATTTAGATATTATAGTGCTAAGAAGCACGTAAGTAGAGAGATGCAACTTATATCCATCCATCCATCCATCCATCCATGCTGCAACTGTTCAGTGCAAACAAGCCTGCCTCATTACTATGAGCATCAACTAGTGTGACAGCAGCACTATTGTTAGCAATATCAGCTCTTAATAATCCTCCCATGCATGAAGTTTTCCACCCTCACACCTCTTCCCATTCTTCCTCAGTGGAGAGTGTCATTAAGCAGTGCAAGCAAACCTTCTGGCCGCTGGTTTGCTTAGCTATTGAATGGGAACTCTGCTTTTAGAGCCTTCACCACTGTTAGATCAATTAATTAAAAAACAAAACAAAATTTGGTCTTGATTATCTTCCTCCTCATTGTAGGACTGAAGAAAAAGTGGCTGTGGGCCACTTAAGACATGTGTGAGCTATATTTAGACCCCAGGCTGCACTTCTCTCCTGCATGACAATTCACCCAAGCAAGGGCTAAAAAGCTAAGTTTTTTACAAGCTGTCTGAAAAGTCACTTCTTGCTGAGCTCTGAGTTTCTGGGGGCAGGGCATTAGAAGCAAGACACCTAAAAATGCACCTCTAAGAACTGGAATGCTTGTCTGCCTTATAGCTGCAGAGTGGATTAAAAACAGGACCATAAGTGCTACCACTAATTAGATTGTATGTATGAATTTCCCATCCATAAATCTCCAGGTGCCTTACAAAGAAGGAAGAATTGTCATTCTGTGTCTCTTTTGTAGGTGCAGAAACTTAGACACAGAAAGGACTTGCCCACGATGATAAGGATGCACTGAGAGATTTTTGGGGATGATACCAATAGCTGATTTTTAAGAAGGCATAGCAGCTGATACCGATCCGATTTCTGATATGCAGCCCAGCAGCTTGACCGGCTGGTAAGTCTGTTGTGGTGGAAGGGGAAGGGGAGGGGAAGGGAAGGGGCATGGCCCCTGTGGTGAGGGAGGGAGTGGAGCTAGAGCAGGGGCTGGGGCAGGCAGTGCCCAGATGGGGTGGGGTGGGGCAGGGCACGGGACAGAGCTGTCGTTCATCCAGGGGCTGCACACGGGGGGGGTGGCTCCGACCATTGCATGCAACCTGGGAGGGCATGGGGGACGTGTGCCTCCCTGATCTGCATGGCATGGGGTGGGGTGGGGTGGGGTGGCTGCTGCTGCAGTCTGGGGCTGGAGCCAGGGCCGGGCCTGTGCTGGGATGTGCTTGGGGTGGGCAGTGCTGGGAGGGAGTCTACAGGGGGGGTTTCAGCCACCCCAAAATTCACCGTAGC